CTCCGAGGCCGTAGGTGGTCCAACGCTCACCGTCCAGGGTTCCACTTCACCTGTGGGCTCTAGATGGGTGCCGGCTGGTGGCCATGACAGTTGTTGTTCGAAGTATTCAGCCCATCGGTCGACGCGTTCTTCTTTCTTCGAGATGGTCGTTCCGTTCTGATGCTTGATGGTCTCGCTCACAGGTGGTTTCCGGGGCCGGTCGCACGGATCAACTGAAATAATCTTCGGGCATTACCGGCTTTCTGGGCTTCTTCCATTTCTTCGACTTTCTGTGTCCACCATACTTTACGGTCGGATCGCAACCTCACTTTCGCAAATTAAGGGTACTTTCGTAATGCAGTGAGTAGGAAAAGGGTGAGGTCTGAAGGTGACCACAAGAATGCGACAAACCTCCCCATAAAGTTGGCGCGCACCAAACTCTTCGGCTGACTTACAAAGACTTTTGCCGACATATGTCGGTTAAAATTCGTAAAATATGCCAACACAAGCAACTTACCGTATTGTGAATAAGAGTACAATATGAGCCATGTAGATGCTAACGATGACCATAATTAGTGGTAGTCCAACCGTGACGACATTTGGCTAGGCAGACGAGCCGTTATTTCTGGTCACTTCCCAAGCGGTTTTTGCAATAATACTTAGGCACTTAAAACACTCAACACATACTCATGACATGAGTGCCGTCATAATTTTTCACTCGGCTGTGCTACCAGATCGGCTGTGGTTGAGCCAAAGTAGCCACCAAATTTGTACCAAGTGCACCGGAGATCAATAGAGCTCTAACAAGGACATCTTATGGCACTGACGTGCGCTTTGTGTTAGGGAGACGATTCAACTGTCTTCACCTGTCCTAATATTGTCCAGGTGCGGCTCGCGACAGATCCATGTATGTTTACAAAGATAGTTCACACATGCGTACAGAGGGCACAGATAGTGACCGGCTGCCAAAAGACAACTTCCCGTAGCAGTGTGCTCCCGGGTCACAGGAACGATGGTTCAAAGCCCTAAAATCAGCGAGCCGTCCAGATTAACGGAATCTCCTTACTGTGACCACATCTACATTTCAATCCAAACGAAGTGACTTCAAAGTAAAGGGACTCCAAGAAAAGAAAGAAAAAGGCTCACCATCATAAATAGCCGACGCAGCCAAAAGAACATCACGATGAATGTGGATGGGTCGATCCGCTATGGCGTTTGATTCACCCATCCCACGCAAGTCGTCCATCAGACAGAACATGTTCGGGTAGTGTACCACAAGCTCCTCTACGTCCTGCAAAAGAATCCAAAAATCGAAATTCGTAGCTAGGACATACAGTCTACCATGTTCCCACATCGATACAATATATTCAAGATCCAGTCGAGGTGCTTTTAGTGTAATGGCGCATAGTACTGACAGAGTGTGCGAGTAATGCCTGGTCAAAACTCCAAAGCGCCTCCCCTGCATCTGATGGAAGGTTGATTTGAAAATTACTAGACTGTCTTAGAATGTTTGGTGATTATCGCGTAGGATTCACAAGACGTTCAAGAAAGTTCAGGAAGACGCCTGCGGATGCCGGCTTTTTCAAAGACTGAAAATGAGGTTTTTACATTCGCGTCTGATACCTTGTGATCGTCTGGCTCGCTTATCAATAGAGAACTCCGTACTCGAAGGCGCTTTTCAGTTCACTAGAAGAGGTAATTCATCAACAATACTGATGGTCACAACAATAAGTAAAACCTCTGCTACTGCTCAAATTAGGCAACAGACGACTAAAGCAGTCAATTATGGTTCCAAGTACCTAAACGTGGTAACAACCTGGCAGGCAAGTAGTGAGAGCTCCGAACAGGTAGATAGGTTATTTTCTAAACGTAACAGGAACCGCTCCATGGTGAACTCAGTATCCTACTAAAGTCTTCCTATTCCATGGGAGTAACAAAGCATAGGTACATCTGGCTAGCTTTGGACCGTCAGTGCCGCAGCATCAAGTGCCTTGAATTCACCCACAATACCGTCTCAGGGTTTGGTAGTTATACACCCCCCTTCTAGCGGGAGTGGGGTCCTAAAAATGCCACGCTGCAGGGGGGGGGTGTTGCGCTTTGGCGAGTTTAGGAGGGAGGGTTATTTAATTAGAGTAAGCCTATTCGACAACGGCCACCTCTGTAGGGTGAGCGCGTCACACGGGACCGTTACAACCCTATAAGAACGAGTTCTGTCGTTCTGGTAGCAACCGATGCGAGAAAGCTTTCCGCAGCGCTGCTTCACTGAATATATATATATATCCCGCATTTGTGATACGTCCGTTACTCGTGCAGTAAGAGTCTTGAGCCTTTTTGTCCGAGAGCATTTTGGGGGTATTGTATTGTGATTTAAGTCAGGATACTGACACCTGACTGCTATCCTCTCCAGTCAGAGGTAGGAATCTTGCGGCTGACTCACCAATGTGATGAGATTGAATCCAGCCCGATGGAGTAGCTCACCCATATCCACATTATCAGCGAAGGGGCTAACGTGAGGTGCGAAACCACCCAATCGCTCCACTTCGGCCAACTGAAGCGATAGACGGAGTTCGAACAGAGTATCGGAGGCTGACATAACACCAAGGAAACAGCCATCGCTTTTCAGAGCACGAAAAACCTAAGGAAACATCAATGAGATGAACACGGTATAGGCTTGTGAAGAGTGAACAAAACGTGTAAGCAATGTCAAAATCCATTGAGACACTGAAACAAGTAAGAAGTTCGCAATAATTGGAATCAGGGATTGTGAGGACGGAGGCTGCTTGAAGCCAAATGACCTTTGATGACTGCTGGTTGATAAAAAAAATCATTCAGCAGTAACACCCTTTCGGTGCCTAGCTACCATGCCACCCGAAGGAAGTATGAGGGCTGGGATATTGCCAGGTTACCCAAACCTAGACAGGGGGTGTCGAGAGGCACAGGTCTGGTTCGAGTCACGAACCTTCCGGTCAGTAAATTCGCGCTCTAACCACTTGAGCCATCTCGCTGGTTGACAGAACACAGCAGTGGGATCAGAGTCCACCTACTAACAGTTACGATGGAATGCTAAAGAATATCATCACGTCCCTCTAGAAAATAAACAGGATGGCGTTTCCCGAACATGCAGGGTAAATTTCTTAATGAGTGAGCATTGCACCAAGTTGACTGTGCACGAGTGCCATGTTACGGACAACCTCTTCAAGGTGAAGACGACAATCAAATACTTCACAGGTGAGTCTATGGTAGAAAGGTCGAGTTTAATGACACGAAGTCAGTGTTCACAGACAAATCCCGCAAAGTTCACTAGACAGCTAGCCTTCGGGTAAACCGATTTCATCACTTACATGTCGCAATATGCCCGGCAAGTCGTTGACCCAATGCAGGCTGAAAGTAAAAATAATAATTGGGGATTGACATTCATGCCTGACTGTCTACCGAGATTATAACCAGTCAAAATTCACACAAAATTGGGTGCGACACTGCTTTTCCAAAGAGGACAGCATTTGCAGGGAAGTCCTTTAAATCCAAATAAAGATAGGAAAATGATTAAGGGTAAGAAACAGAGGCGCGACAAAGTGAACAGCACTAATGTATACGAAACTCTGAAACTAAGACGCGCAAGATTATTCTCGAATAAAACCAAGTTCCAGTAGAAAACGAGCACAGCTCTTCGAGTGTGGAAATGGTGCACCGTATGTTCACATACGGAGGTTCGGATCACCAAAGTGGATTGCGTAGGATAAAGATAAGAGTTCAGCTGTACAATACATGGAAAATCAATAGCGAGTTGGTGAGTAGGGGGAGGAGAATGAACACAATGGCGTCGATCAAAGCGACATCTTCGTGTCAGAGAATACCCTCACCTGGATCCTCTTTTCTCTCCTGTTCACCCTAGGGCTCTAAATAAAACTAGATTAACTAAGTGGTTTTATGACAATGAAGCACCATCCTCAACCCTGTTGTCTCTGATGATGACGAAGTAGACGAAATACAGTCCCGAGGAGAACCACGTTTGGTTATGAAATGAGGGGAATATTTTCTGTAAACTTGCTTCTGTCGATGAATATTGGAGCATACCGACCATGGGAATGTGCTGGATATATTGGCAACACAGCTGGTTGAATACGACCTTGGAATCGAAAAGGACAACTATTAGTGGCCTAGTTTGTGCGGCGGTTTTCGACAAGTTAACCTAAAGTAGAGATGTGGCCGGTTAATCTAGGACGTTGGTGCGACTTCGTTAACTTGTAACGACTCTGCTCTTCGATGGTGCTGATACACCTGTGTAGGCTAAGATCGTTGGCAACTCCAAGAAGATGAAAGGTGAACTGATAATCCAATGAATTCCGCATTTACATTGAACACCTTTTGCATAGTGGGGGAAAAAATCGATCAGCTGTAGCACCCTTCCGGTGCTCAACTGTCATGCTACCCGAAGGTTGCACGAGGGCTGGGATACTGCCAGGTTGCCCAAGTCTAGACAGGGCAAGTGAAGAGGCAAAAGTCGGGTTCGAACCCGGACTTTCCGGTCAGTAATTCGCGCTCCAACCACTTCAGGCATCCTGTCCCACAGTGAGGAAGCATAACTACCATCTATCCGGCACTTGCGTCGGCTCCCCAATGATTTATATGGTTTCTGCCACAACGTCGAAGAACTGTTGAGCATTCAAAAACAAGAAGGGGAAAACAATAAGGACTAGATGATTGGTCAAGCTTTCCCCAGTTTACCTAGTTGCTGACTTCATGTTCAAAGGAGTCCGGCAGTTCCTAGCCCAGTGTGAAGTCGACGATGCATCCAACATTATCTTTGGAACCTCATACCACCCACACTTTTCTTCGAAATGTTCCATACATCGAAGCAGACGACGGGAGTTGAGCCAGACATTTGAACCTTGTTTTCTTCTGATGACTTCAATGAATGACAGGTAGAGCTTTTTACGTCATTTAGCGAAACACACTCATTTGCATACTAATTTGGTTTTTCGAGAAACTCACCTGGAACCCAGCTGAATCTCTCGTTTGTGATGTTTCATTATTTGTGAAATAGCATGTGCACGGATTATCAGGAAGGGGACAGACAATCTGAAGGTGTTTGAGTAGAGTTCGAACAGCCTGTCCAAGATCTTATCCACTTGGACATCCGGGACCAGCATTTCGAATAACCATCTCAACAGTGTCTAGCTGACACTGTTTTTTTTTCATTTCTTGAGCTTTCTTCGGCGAATACTTCTCTCCACCAGTCCAACTGTAGCTGAATTGTCCTCTAAGAGGTCTTGCTAAAACGTCAGGCTGGTGAGATCCTCTTGACTGCTGTAGTCAGGAATACGGATCGCTGTGAGGTCCCACTAAGATTGGACTGCGATTTTGTTTTAAGAAGCCTACAGTCAAGCGTCGATTTAAGGACAATTCGAATCCCGAACCAGTTTTCGATCGACCGAATGAATTGTTTTGCTACGGATAGACTAATTTTCCGATTACATCCTTCATACAGTGAATCTTATACTGGTGAGTGGTTTCCCTTCTGCTACAACACACGCATCGGCCAAGGTGTGACATGAGTGTGTTCAAAGAGAAGTGACAACCTTGAGAACGAAATGGCTATCTACGGCTAGCTGCTATGTAGTGGGGCGGAGTATCTAATTGGTTGTGGAGGAGTAAGCGCCCGGTACACCGTGCTCACACTTGCGCTCGAGACAGGCTTAGTGACCGGCGTACAAGTGGTTCCAGGACAATCCCCCGCTGCCAAGATAGTCTACATTTCTATCGACTCTTTCAACTGCCAGTCAAAATAACAACATCTGCGAAATTTGCCGTCCGGAGAAATTTGGGAGTTCGTCAGACAACAGTGAACCATGATGGGTGTTGTTAGTTGAGGTGTATGCGAAAAATTAGTATATTTCACGATTTAGGTTGTTACTTAAAAATCCTGATGCAGATATGGTCAGCCTGAAGGCATACAGTAGGCTGTATCCAATTGAGCACATCTCCAGCTCTCGTATTCAATGTCATTCGAATAGTGCGAGGTCCCTTATAACTGTCGCATCAGCTTGTTGGCAATAAAGCTGTTGTGTTCCTTGTTGGCGAGCCTTTTTCCAGCACTAGGCATTGAAGCAGGGACAACAGCAGATGTAACAAATTTCGGAGCATTGCTTGCTGAACAATTACGTTAGGGAGGACGATTCGGTTAACAGAATCAAAGTCGTCTTCGAAAACGAGGAATTCCATGGTTGCGGGTTGTCTATATGTACGGCGTTGCTCTAACACCTGATATGTAAGGAAATGGTGAACACAACTCCTAGCAGACCGAAATCCCGCTCGCTGCTCTTGAGTCAATGTCTTAAGTGACGCGGAATTTCGTTACAACTACAGCTAAGTATATCCCTCTGTAATTAGCCATCACATGTATCTTTTTTCAAAGACAGCACTGTTACAGACTCTACCTACTAGCCTGGTACAGTCTCCTTCTCCCAGACAGAGGCAAACAGATCAGAAAAGCGCTGACTGTGGACGTCACTCGGCACCTTCCACTTCCTTAACCTTCTGTTTCCACTAGGCTTCACAGTCCGTGGGCAAGTTAAGTTACACTTGACACCGGATGATTCATCAGGTTGCATTATGTTCGGGATCGACGGGAACGTATCTCCGAAAGTGGAGCAGTGCCACTGTTCTCTCTGATATCTAGTGCTTGAGAGAAGCTAGGGTGCCGTGAGGCAGGCGAGGACTCTTGACACTGTGCAAAGATCCGATAATCTCGTTCCAGTATGGGTTAACAACCGAAGGCGGAGCAGTTAGAAGAGACACCAGAAGATGATTCTCATAAATTCGTCCAAGATTTGTCCGTTTTTTGTTCCTAAACGGTTTGTTCAACCCTTGCGCGGCCCCAAGAAGCGAGTCCAGATGAGAGCAGAATGAGCAAAAGTGCTTCAAAAGCAGCGGTGCTCGATTGTTGATCCAAGCCATCGGTAACTAAAGGCCGTGTGGTCAATTTGGATCCATGGCTGGCACCACGTAGTCAGACATACTAGGTAAGAACAAAGTGCAGTCAGAATGAGGCCAGAGCAGTCATTTGTCGTTATCCATACGTACCAATACTTGTCCCAGTCGATCATCCAATCGAGTCATAGATACGCATTCAAGTCTCCGTCAAACAAAACTATATCTGAACTTTTAGCTAACCAAAACAGGCGCGCGCCAATGATGTCCACCCGAACGGTGACGAGGCATTTGCAAACTAACTGATAAGCTCAACGAACAACATTCCGTTACACTTACAATCAGTCATGCCGTTGGCACGGCTTCGTGATTGACTTGTTTTTAACATCCCAAAAGTAAGGGCTCTTGTTTTGTTCCATTTATTTATAAGATATACCCGAAGAGATGTAGCGAAATATACCCGGTTTAGCACGTAAGAGGACATTTGTCTGCACCCCCTTCATGTCATTTAAAACAACAGTACAACACAGCTCCGAGTATCCTTGTGTATTGTGGTTCCCACATGAGCTCTACAAGCTAGAAACGTTAAGTGTGGCTGGCAAGTATAGGAAAGCTTATCTTTGAAATGCACTCTGGGAGCACGAACTTACCTGAGACACGTGAGGACTAGATCAAGCGAATCATTTCGAAATGGAAGCGCTTCTTCATCTGATGTGATGTTGCCTGTTGGAACATCTGTTGACTGGGAGCATTGATTCTGGGGTGGGGTTGGGCGAGAAGTTAAGAGTTCCAATAAAAATAAGTAACCCAAATAGGGAATCAACTTAACGAATGCACTATAACGAGAACGTAAATTATCTGTAAGTAAAGGCAAAAACCTGGCCTTTGCCAAGAACTGAACACTTATCAAAGCCGGTGTCGACTGATTTAGTCCAAGAAACTCTAGGCGTAAAAATAAGAACAGGGGAGAGCGAAGGACACACACTTACAGAATCCAGTCCGCCAAGAACGAATGTCTACAACTGAGCGCATGATCATGCACTGTTTATTCACCATAATACCATAATACCACATCACGGTGAATCAAATCTTGGTTAAATTAACAAGAGATTCAGGTGGATGAGCAAAAGCCAAAGTGGACCTTGACCCACCATACGAGATGATTCAGAGATGGTATGAGATCTTCACGATTGTTAGGCTGGATTCGTCCTTGAGTTTTTGATCTCTCAAGTATTTCAAGAGCACCAGAAGAGCATAGTTTAATTCTTTTAATACTTTTTAGGATAGCAGTTGCTGGGCGAACGCTTAGCTAACCTGTCAATTCTTTAGTCATTGTTTAAGAGGAATTTCGCCTAACGAGAAGTGTGGACAATTGGTGGATGCTCGGATGAATGATAACACTGAAAAGATTCCCTTTTATAACGAACAGTTTTGATTGCTCCGATTGTCAAGCAAAACCGGAGCATATGTGATCAACTTCGAAAGAGATGTGGTTACAAAAAAGCGATTTCGATACCAAACCCACCATTGCAATCCATGTTTTGGAGTAAGCTCAAGATAGCTCGGTGGTTAAGGTGTGAACATACTAACCGGGAGGTCCATAACTTGAACCCAAATCCAGCACCTCCACTGATCCTGTCTAGGCCTGTGCAACCTGACAGTGCCTCAGCCCCTGTGATTCCTTCGGAAGGCATAGCAGCTAAGCACAGAAAGGAGCTACAGTTGAAAGTTTTATAATTTGGAATATGCTCTAAAAAGAACAGTCCACCGGCTAATCACAGCTGATAAACACTATGTCGAGAAGGCCCCAAGGTCGTTGCGCGGAGAGAAAAAAATAGACAGCGAAACGAAGCATAATTGACGAAAATTAACGGTACATAAGGGGGTCAAAAATCTCGCGCTCGAAGCAGATCTGCTTACACCACGTAATCAACACCCATGCAGTCATTCAACCTCGTGGGTTAAACACACAATTCATGACAAGCTCTGATAATCCCTGAAAATTCACAACCACCTCAGCGCTTTCAAAGTATGATTAATACACACATACTCCAGGTCATCAGGGAGGACGAAAGACCCTGAATATCTCCTGCTCATAAGTATGAAGGTTTGCGCCTATCAGGATCTGTGAGATACCTGTAAATTTCGAAAAGATAGCTAGGCGGTGACTCCCGTCAGCTGGTAACCCTTACTTCAAAACTGAAAAATGAAAGGGCTGAAAATTATTTTTGGCTTCCGCGTGCCATGCTACCAAGATAAGGCAAAGGTTAATGTAGATGTGAACAAAACAAGAAACGAATATCATATCGTACTTACCAAAACATCGATCGAACTGTCGCACTGAAACAACAAATCCGTTGAGTCTGTGGTTAGATATTTGGATAGATGGCCACGTCCACAGCCCAAATCCACAGCGACGGCAAACTTCCTGGAAACGCCGAGGAAACGGGAAGTTACTACATTGGGACTCCCGAATACTAGAATAGCCTGCTCCCGAATGGACAAAAGGAAAGGGTGATAACCAGCAAAACAGATCAATGGAATAAGCCTAGTAAGACACATTGGTGGAAGAAAATCACATGCGTCCGGAAAAATACTGATAATATTAATCGTCACTCAGCTGTAACAAGAACAGTCGAGATGCTGAGGTCGGGTTCGAAACACGGACCATCCGGTCAGTAGGTTCGCCCTTAACCACTGAGCTATCTCGAGTCTGGAAACAATCAAGGAATAACCAGTGGCCACTAAACTGGAGGGCAATACTAGCCGACTCAGACAGAAGCAAGGGGGTGGGAAGACTGGACTTCACTGGTGTGAGGCTGAAAACATTCATTGTAAGTGTCCCGGGGTGGAGAGAAAATGGATAGTAGAAGAGGAGGACCCAAGTGCTAATCAGAGATAAACACGTCTAGATATCTGCATTCCCACGCGCTGAATCCAACAACATGGCAGCCCTTTCACTAACAAAGTCTGCCAGCCGTAGTTGAATACCCCTGGACTGCCTACGCCTGGACCCAGTAGTCAGAGGTCAGATATCGATATCGAGACAAGCGTAACAGTTCCACCCGTTTCTGAAGGACATTCTCACTTTTCAAGCGCTCCACAAACTCCCAAGTCAGGCGAGATGGCTCAAGTGGTTAGAGCGCGAATTTACTGACCGGGAGGTCCGTGGTTCGAACCCAACCTCTGCCTCTCGACTTCCCCTGTGTAGGCTTGGGCGGCCTGCCAGTATCCCAGCCCTCGTGCAATCTTCGGGTAGCATGGCAGTTAGGCACCGGAAGGGTGCTGCAGCTGAACGATTTTTTCAGTCACAACGAAGATAATATTCCAGACATCCATATACCCCTCGGAACAAAGTAGAAACAAAAATCACAACTGGGACCACTGGAGAAATTGGCCTAAATGTTATTGACATCAACCCACCTAGATATATCACAGACTCGGTCAGCCAACCTGGATGCAATCTCTTCACGGACATAGTCATACAAATGTGGATTTGGCAATTGTGTTGACCGGATTCTTTGTTTCAGCTTTGAAGAGCGATCAAACACATACATAACATTCTGACCATTGATGGTGGAATTGTGCAAATGTGCCGTGCATACGACACTGGTCCGATAGAAGATTCTGCGGAAGAGATTCTGGAACGTGAAGTAGAAAAAACACTTGGAATTCAGTAGAACTACCTGACCCACCCGGGAAATTCTATCGATTGTTAGCGATGTGCGATTAACCAGCACCGCTTCAGTTTAAGTCCGTTTCGGTTCAACGAGAACCGGAAACGGGGCCCCGTCCCGTCGTTGCACCACTGCTGCAACGAAAAGGAAAGCAGAACGGTTCGTTCGCGGCACCAAACCACACAAGAGAACGGAAGAGGGCTAAAATACTAAAAGGGCTTCCAAAAAACAACTGCCTCAAGCCACGAAACTAAATGTTTGAAGCTCATATCTTAAACGCTGGGTTATCTTTAGCATCCGCATCCAAACCGGTTTGTTGAGAAACAAACAGAGGCACTGAACAGTGTGCTATGTGATCATGCAGTTTATCCAGCAGACTGATTTTGACAAGAGTGGAACACTTGATTTAACCCGGGTGTGACTCCAAATGCTGTCTCCCGCTGGATAACACACGAAAATGATGTGATTCTGACAGACAGTCCTGTCACGCAGCCAGTGCCGCTCCAGCATAATGCTTGTCGCCTTTAGGGCGTGATGGTCTCATGTTTGGGGGTCAGCCGTCCCCAATAACCGAACAGCGCACCGTTTAGTGTCACGTGCAGGACACGGACCAGACGAAGGCATGCCCTGATTGGTCAGAATGCCAGCCAATCCCAGTCAAGCACCTGTGACTCGACGCTTCCCGCCCCCTCACGGAGATTCTGGCACGACCTTGCGGAACACACTGTGACTACCCTATAAATACAGTTGTTCTGATTTTCATGTGTCTTCATCAATGGCTGTGTAGAGCTACCGTGGCTCTTGATCTACCATTAAGGACGGAGAAGGAAGCAAAGGGACTTGTGGTGTTTTGCAAATTCACAAATTCACGGATTCATGGATTGATACACAGGATCGAGCCTTTGCCCAAGCTTCCCGGGTCGGTTTTCTTCTTGTCGGTCAGTGGCTGTCGTTCACCTGAAGGGCACAAGTGAAAAAAGGGTGTAGCACTGCTCTTTATGTTCTCANTTGATACACAGGATCGAGGCATTTGCCCAAGTTTCACGGATCAGTTTTGTCCTTGTCGTTCAGCTCCTTATGTTCTCAGCAAAAGGCAGTATGTATGCCAGCACGATGATTCGCATAAATAAATGTCTAGTAGTGTATCGAATTGAGTTATAGAAGGAGCGTAGACAAACGTCAGGAAGGATGCTACCATCGGAAAAGAGAACAAATATGCCGCATGAATGTGTGCGCACTGAGCTTGAAAATTTTCTTACTATGTCCTTGCCGTGTGCTTGCTGGCTCAACGGTGAAAATCCTGTTGGCCAAGCTTTGTTCAAACAGGGCGTAGGTAAGAATTAGGTCCCCTCGGAGGGGATGATACTCCAGGGGAAAGAGATCAAGCATCGCGAGACGCGTTTCGTAGTCCACGGACTTGAGGCCGGCAACCATTCTCGTAGCGGCCCGCTAGACGCGCTCAATGAGAGTGAAGTCTTTCATGCGTCCTGAGTAGACAACTTGGTTGGCGTACTCCAGGAACGGTCTGACGTGGGCCCCATAGAGTATTTGGAAGTCCATGCGAGTAATACGGGAGAAGGTGCGTCGGATCATCCGTAAAATGGTGAATGTCTTTTGGGCCGACTTCTCATGGTTTAGTGAGAAGGACAAGTCTGAGGAGACCCAGATGCTTTTGAGAAGTCGAAAAATATGGCATCCGATATGAGTACTTCGTCCTTGGCTTGGGTTAAGCTGCCCATAAACACGAGCATGTTTGTCCTGCAAGAACAGTTTGGGAGAAATCCGTGTTTAGCTGGAGATATCAGATTGTTGGAAGTAAGGTGATCCAGGATGGCTCGCTTCAGAATGCCTTCTATCACCTTGCACGGCACGCAAGTGTCGCTTATAGGCCTGTAGCTTCTAGGCGATAATCGGTCGCTGGTTTTGTAGATTGCTGTTACAATGGCCTTCTTTGTTGAGGACTCTCTCTCACTTAAATCTCTGTGGTAAATTATTTTCAATAACATATTAACATATACATTCTACACAATGAAGTGGCACGCCTGAAAATGGCGTACGTTTCGAGAAATCGATCTCAGTGTGCGAATACTGAGCGGCTTGAACGTCAGTTTTGGACTTTAGTTCAAACTTACAGGATAAATCGTCATGATACTCCCACTACTTCACCAGATTCCTCCTTCCTTTTCCTCATTTTTCGCTTTTAATTTTTCTTGTCGTGCGCTAGGCAGGATGAGCTTTTTGCCATCCCTCGTTCTAATTTGCCCACCAGCCTCAAATCTTAACATCCTGATCCTGTTTTAGCTTGATATGATCAGCCAAAAATTAGATAAGTGCCCCGGTAACTGTGTTCCATTCCCCTCGCTCTTATGGCGTGACCAACTCTAAATCGAAAAATTCCCACGGTTTATGACATGATCGTCTTTTTCGCGCAATACACAGAACCCACAAACCCCCGAGTCATTCCCGACGGCATGCCACCCACCAGCTGGGAACAAACATCGAGTATCACTGTAATGAACAACAATGAACGTCACACAGCAGTTAGGTTTTCGGTTGGCCGCCAGGTACTAACACAGAAATTTTGGGCTACCTGTATTGCCTTTCAGCCTTTTGCCTGTAAGTCACACTCCAGGATTGTTTTGATACAACTAGGGTCAGAGCCCTCCTAAAGCCCATGACGAAATACTATATCGTCGAAGCTCAGTGTGACAAATTTTGAATTGGACAGAAAACTTTATTCTGAAAAGTGCGGCCATGGCCTCTGGGTGCTTTCCGTTTCCATGACAACATTCTCGCCCGTTGCTGAAATCGGCGCCGGGCCTTAGCACTTTCATTGAACCAGCTGCTGGCTGGTCTCTGTGTGACTGTTGTGGCGTTCCGCTTGCTGGCCTCCCTTCCTTGACTTTCAGGATAGCGGTAGAACGAGCCGCCTGAACCTGGGACTGTACACCGAAGTGTTCAGACCACGAGTGAAACGTTGCGGGCCGTTGGCAGGGTTCACCGAATTGGCCTGAGGTGAGAGGGCTACCAGTGCCTGGTGCCAGGAACTGAATAGCCGCTGCGTGGCGTGTGTTCCATCTGGTCTCCGGTTTGGCTGTGACTGTGGCGACCACAAAATCGTCAGAAGGTGATGTTCTCGTGAACATATCGGAGCCATTTGCAGTTGTTTCATCACAAACAGCAATGAGGGGTTCATCCAACAGTTGAAGCTCATTAATCCAATCCAGCCCTGGAGATCAAGGCCTGTATAGTTCGTGAGGTGTCAAGTACCATTCAGTCGAATCCCCTTGAACATTACGGAACAGTTCATCTTCCCGGTCAGTTTGAGGCTTCCACCAGAGGCATTACGAACGGTGCACTTTTTTGGTTCCACTGGTGGCCTTCCAATTACATTCCAGGTTCGTTTTGAAATCAGAGTGAGGTCAGAACCTGTATCCATTTGGAGGGTAACTGGCGTGCCGTTGATACATAATGTGACGGATTTACGTCGACCGGGTGATTTCATCCTGAATGTGGCGGTCATGGCCTCTGCATGCGTCCATTTGTCGGGTCGGTGTTTGCGTGAGCTCCTGAAGTTGTCTCTGCAGCATTCTTCTTTGTGACCCTTTCGACCGCACTTACTGCACCTGTGGTTCCGGTAGGGACATTGACGTGAATAGTACCATTCTTCACAAGACCAGCAGGGTGTGGGTGGTTTTCTTGGAGTTCGTTTTGAATTTGACTTCCTTTTGGAAGTTACTTTGCATACCATATCAGGCCGAGAGAATTTGGAATGTCCTATCATTGCAGCATCAGCCTTGAGATTGATAAGATACTG